ATTCGAGATTAAGTTATCAAAATGATTATGAAGAAAGGTACATAAAAAGTCGCCTAGACTTCGGCTGAGTTCAGATATCTAGCGACTTTGAAAGTCGTAAAGAAATCGAACACGTTATTGTCGTTCTGAGCTTGACGCTTGTGAGTTGGGTTGGACGACGAAAATTTTCATTTCCTACAAAACGAGCGCTCGATCGACATGCTCGCATGTCAATTTAAATATTTCTTTCGTGTCGGCGACCTGGACGGCCACGAAGGCGTGTGTACCTACAGATATCGAAGAGAAACTATTTAAGCGATGAATATTGCAGCGTTAGCAGCAACAATTCATAACGATGCACATCGCGTGTACACACACTGGTTCAACTAGTTGAACTAAATCAACTCCGGGCCGAATAAAAACATTCACATATGAACTAACAATCGCGGTGCATCGCCGAGCTCGATTCCGAGTTTCTGATTTATTTTGTCATGTCGACAAACATCGTACCGTGAAACATCGGCGTGGTGTAGCGCATGAATCTCGACGGGCCCCGCCGATCGGGACCCGCCAATATCGCCGGCACCATCGCTCGCAATCAGCGATCCCTGGCCGGGGGGACCCGCGTGCATCGTCGACTTGTTGTTAGTCGTCTTTATTGGCGATTGGCCCGAGCCGAGCGCGCGGACCGCCAAAGACGTCTTTAAATATCGCCGAGCTTCATGGCTTTACAAGTCGATTTTGACGTTAAATGCGCAGCGCTAGTGCGCGCGCGCAGCACACACGACCCAGCGCGCCATAAGCTAATGCAAATCGGCGCGCGCGCGCGCGCCAGCTGGAAAAGTGCGCTTTCCGCGCCGATGTTTAGTCGCGACGCGCGTCGTCTTAACGTTTTAATAAGCCCGCTCCACCGGCGGCGGCGAAGCCAAAGCAAGCGGGCCGAGTCACGAACGTGTCTTAAACGCTCGCCAAATAGGGCGCAGGATCGCTCCGAGGACCCATTACCGCGCCGCGTTATTAATACGGGCGTATTAAAAGTCGTTTGCGTTTATCGGTTTTCCGCGAGACGCACGGAATAACTGATTGCGAGTAATTAAAATCGATTTCGTCGGCGGCGGCGGCCCGAAACAAAGATGCCTTCGATGCGCGGCTACCTTCTTGCGTGCGGTTGGCGCGGAATCGCGGCCCACGGCGCGCCGCAACAAATCATTAAAATAAAGCCACGCACTACTACTCCTACCTAAACAAATCGTTAACGGTGATTAACATTTGTTGTGAATTATTGCGGCGCGCTTCGAAATGCAGCGTTTTTTTTTCGTATTTATCTACGGAAGACACGCAAAAGCGTCATAATTCGCCTACGTAATCAATTAAACCTTCTTCGAAAAATCTCCGGCGAGTGAAATAATGTGTAATTAGTAAATTTCAATTTGTTGCCCAAATTGAGCTGAAATTATCTTCATTTTTTTTTCTCTCGACGCTGTGTGATCTATATATCCTGTAATTACCACGGATGATTTTGCCGTCAAACACGGAAAAATGCCGCCGCAGCGCACGGTACAAGCGCACGGGTACAATTAAACATGTAAAACTTTCTATAATTGGTATGCACATTAGACGATTAGTTTCTCTTTGCGTTTGACGTCTGAAATCCGTCCGCTCTCGGCCGGAGCATAAAAATACCCCCCGGTGCTGATGTTCATCTCCCGCTTCTATAACGACTACTAAATATTTTCATACGTTCATTTATTATTATAATGATAGAGGAGTCGCGGCGCGTCGGTTTTGTTTTGTACCGTTCGTCGGCGACCAGCGCCTTCCGGTTTTCTGCATGCCGCCGCACAAAAGGAGAGGCTGCGGGTCAAGAGGTGCCTTTGCAATGAATGCCACCCCGAAATCGCTTCATTTCAACATCATTTACAACAAAATTTACAAGCGAAGAAATAAAATTTCCAATTGTTTATCGATTTAATTTTAAATCTCGTATGTGTTGTTTAAGGATGAAATCAAAGATTGAGGAGATAAAGGCACGCGCTAAAACACAAACGCAAACGGCGAACACAGCTTTCACCGAACTAGATAATCACACACAACGGCAATTTCGGTTTATTAGCGCTCGAAAATCCGTACGCGATCGGGCGCGACGGGCGCACGCACGCGCTGCTCGGATTCTTAAGTGGCGGACAGAAAAACGGAAGAAACAAAAAAAACGCAACGTCTCGCCGGCGATGCGATGCGTGTACAATAGCGCAGCGCTGCTACCAGGCTCGAGCCACGAAAATGATGATTGATCGATTTGATTAGGAGGCACTTTTGGTAGCGGTGCGGCGGCGCGGCGAATCGCCCGTGCGCGTTTTGCAATCGCAATCACATTTAGCGCTGGCTAATAAATAATTTTCGTTTCGTTGCGTCGGTTATGTTATTAAATGTGAAATTAAATAACGCACAAAAAGCCACCGATGGTGTTCTAAGTGAAACTTAAGTAGTCGCCGGCGATGTTTTTGTCGCTCACGAAACTTTTTCAGCTTTCAACAATCATTACAACATGAGTTTGACTTGCGGTATTAATACTGAACATAGCAGACAATCGTAAAATCTTATATTATACTTTCATAATTTTATTTTGAATGAAAATAGAATATTTATTTCTTGATGCTTTTTGCATTTCCGGCCATCCTTATCGTGTCTATACTCGTAGATATGATCCGGTGAATGTGAATTAACGAGCATGGAGCAACTTGAAAAATCCGCGGCGCACAACTCGTGAATGGTTGATGCATGTGGAATATTTCATTTTATTGTGCGGTTTTACGTATTCGCGACGTTTTCACGATCGCGGCGCGCAGTCGTTGCGCGCTTTACTGTTGCGTACTTTATGGACGCTGTTAATCTGCCACCTCGGGGCAGCGACGGCGCGCGCTGTGACACTATTTCGCGCAAAAATATCGCCGCCTGCATGCGTCGTTAAGCAGGGCCGCCGGGACGCGCGCAGGAAACAAAGTACACCATACGATATTGCATCGCGCGATCGTATCGACGCTTTGATTTCGTAATTTTCAGCGCGCGCGACAAGCCCGTGCATGCACCTACGTGGGCATCGAAAATATAAGTGATATTAATATGAATTACCCAGCGACTGGTCGTCGACACGACACTCTGTGTAGGTACCTACGAAGGTCGAGTTCACTTGCAGGCCGGCTGAAAAAGGCGAGCGTGTCGGATTCGTTTCAACTCTCGTGCGGTTATTAAAATTCAATTTATATTTGTGTATCGAGATTAATTAAATTAGGCGTCGGGCCGCTAGCATAAATAAAAACGCGTGTGCCGTGTTGTGAGTACATAAAGTAATAAAGCAATAAATAACGCTAATAAACTTTATCGAAATAACCTTCTTGGAGTGTTGCTCCAAGAGAGGTTTTTCGACGAGGAACCAACTGTCAAATAGAGCGCTCCGAGTGATTCATAAACGCGGTGTCAACCAGAATTAATTTTATCAAGATGGAAGATTTATTATTTAACGCTCTGCTTGCGCGGCCCGGCCGTGTGTTCATGTGTTGTGTTCGATTTTATTTTCGTCAGCGGCTTTATTAAAATTCAGATTTCCAAACAATTTCGACACGAAACGCCTCGGATCTCATTAATTTTATCAACCGCGCTTTTATTTCCAGCTCGAAACAAAAGTTAATTAACCGAATTGACATTCGAGCCTCATTTAGATGAGATGCCGTGCGTGTTAACGAATTTTCCTCCAAACATTTCGAAACTTCACTCCAAAGCATCAAAAAAGCTCCAAGAAGAAAGATTAAGATAACGTTTCATCTGCGAGAGCTTTCCGAGCTTTGAAAAGTGTGTGACATTTGGATCAGCTTAACAGCCGGCTGCGGGAGATATAGACGTATTAGTCGCGAAGATGTAGAAGCCGAGATCTCCTCCGCCGTCACACACTCGCTCGACACCGACGACGACTCGTGTTTCGTGCTGGAATTCTTTTCATCGATTTTATGTTTTATTTTGGCTGCGGCGAGATTTTTATGTAAATAATTTCGGCTGCTATTAGGCGGGCGTGCGTGCCCTGACACTCGCACGCTTTGACGTTTGATTGCCTCGCCTGATAAAGAAATAAAAACGCCGAGGACGAGGCGACCGCTGCGTCTAATAGCCGCGGATTGAAATCGAGACGCGGCCCACTATCACAAAACACAGACAAATGTTAAGATACAACAATGTACGCTTTTTTAAAATCATTTTTCTTCTAGAATGTGCCATTTTGAGGGATTTAATCGTGCATAAAATTCTGTATAAAAATATCTGCTATTATTATTTAAATTTTGTGTTTTTTTAAAGAGAAATACGTTTTACTCTACTTTTACTCTTTAAAAGTGTAATGTGTGACTTTGTAAATATTTAATGGCAGGCATCAGCGTGCAATCGTACAATTTAAAGTGTTTGAGTTAACTAAGCTTTTCTTGATTGTAGACGCTTGAATCCCCATTCGTTAATTCATTAGATTCGTTTATGTTGCGGCTGGTTTAAGTAATTTAGTAGCTGGCGGGCATTTCGTCTTACTGCGTCTTGACTTTGCAACTTTGTAACACACTTAACTACAACGAGTCATATCATAATCAAGTAATAGTTTCCGCAAGATAATAAATAACAACGTCACACGATCGAATCGCGCGTAATTTAACTTTTAACTACTGCACCACTTTGTAACACAAATTAAACACTGTATTTATGATATGTGACTTTAAATAAATATTTCTAATAGATGAAATAACCGTGAGTATAATGAGTGTTGTCTGCGAAAAGTGCAGGATGTGCGACTATCAAAAAATAAAACGTTATAATCAGCGCTGGTAGCTGCGAGTTACGTTTCGTTAAAGACAACCCGGTGATTATGCAGTCAAAGTCGAGCGCGTGTTGCGCGCGCGCGCTCTCCGGCAAGCCGCCCCGTCGTCGAATTCGATCGCTGCTTGTTGCCCGCGCGCGCAAATCACCGAGAAACCGAGAAGTCTTCTTACCACTGGGATCCCCGAACGCGATCCGTCTCGACGGCGATGGATGCGAAGAGCGCGACGGGCCGATGAGGCGAGGAGCGACGGCGTCTGCACGGATCGCTAGAACGCAACAGAGGACGTGAGTGAAACGCACTGCGTAGATGCTGCGCATGTATACATCTAATTAATTATACATTAAAACTAATGGGCGGCACTAATTGAAACGAAAAAAAAAACAACAACAACAAGAGAGGTAAGATATGAAAGGATATAAAATGTAAAGCTTGACGAAACCGAAAATATTACTCCGACGTTGAGGAAAAACACGTTAATTATCATTAACAAACAATTAGGCTCTTTTTTTCGGACGCGCATCAGACGAAACAAAGCTTTATCCACCCGAATTCCAAAACATTTTTAGTTTAAATTTCGAACTTTTCTTTTTTCTTTTTTTATTCTTCTTTTTTGTTTAGTTTTAGGATTGAAAAGTTCTCAAATTGGCACTGTAACAAAACAGAAAGGTAGCCAATGAACAGTCAACTGTTTAACGGGTAAGTAATTTATTCAATTGGCAAGTTTATCATCACAATATCAGCACTAATCTAAACCGAATCATGCAATGAATGTAAAAGAAGCAAAAACAAAAATAAATAAAAAAAATCGCATCCATTAAATCTGTTTATGTGAATGAAATGAAAAATAATTGACTTGCTCAAGCAGTGTGTTCATTAGCATGCATAAAATTACACTAAAAATTCTTCGCTTCTTCGCTCGGCGTTTTTTTCTCCATTTGGTGTCTTCGTGCTGCTTGCGGAGAGGACGTTTCTGATTAATTGCGATTCTCGGACCGTATGGATAATTCCATTCCAGCTAATAAAGTAATGATGATTTTAGTCTTTTGTTGGGAATCATTGTTACACAAGTTACACAATATGTAAAGATACTCACGCCTGGAATACGTTTGAGAACTTTTCAACCCATAAATAATGCAAGTTGTTGTTATTTTTTGTTGGTTTTATGATTATTGTCGATGTGTATATTTAGGATATTAGAAATTTGCGGTAAATTTGAATGCACGTACGTACGTGTGCGTGAGCGTCATAAAATCGACTTGATTTGCGCCCCGGCAAATTGAAATTGAGTACATTAACACTCCCGAGCGCAGATAATGGTCGCGAATAAGAACATTAAAGTCGTGCGTCTGTTGTGTCCCGTCGGACGACATACCCGTCCGTTTTCCGCGTGCGTGCCGGCGCAGGCGCGCGTCGCGCGAACGAGTTTATTGCCTTTTTATTGTAATTGCGCTCCGTACGCATTTATTACGTTTCGAACTCACGTCGCGATCGCCTAATATCCCAATACCTACGTTTTCTACTCTCTCTCGCGCCAGCCATTCACAGGAAATTCCTTGGTGCTACAACCTGCAAATCATATCTACGCATCATTATACACGATCGTGAATAATAACCCACTTATCTACAACTGTTGGCTGTTAACTGTTTTGACACAAACTAATTTCAGCAGTGCGGTTTGGAAATGTCGTCGTGAAGAACGCCGGGTGTCCATTTCCATATGCAAAACGCGAGTTAATTGCAGCGCGCGGCGTGCTGTGCATTTCGCATCGGGTTTTTTTGCGACCCGCACCGCTGCATGCACATGCATTTATGCATTTATTTATTCAGGAGCGCAGCGCGCGCAGCATTCGCGAGATAATCGCTCTCGGACGTTACGTTGGACGAGCAGCTTCATTCATTTATTTCATTCAATCACAACCTGCACACACACGCACACACACACACACGCACATGGATCAAAACTAGCAGCGGCCACTTATGTTATGACTTCGATTCTCGTCGCTCGCTCGTAGGAAGTTTGTAAAACTATTAATAAAATTAATCGAACGGTATCTTAATATGATTTCGTACCTGCTCGCTCGGCATTAGCTCCTAAATCGTGCATTATACGATAATAAAACGTGACCAATTCGAAACAGGAATGTTTCATCTTTTTTCTTCTGATAATGTTGGAAGTGAACAGAAGTGATAAGCACAAGATGCGCGCCGGTTTTAATTAAACGACTTCCGTTCGTGCAGTCGTGCCGTGCGCATTTATTAATTTCAGGATTCGAATCGAAGATGGACGCTGAAACACGGGCGTAATTAGTGTGGGCCGTTGCGCGCCGCATAAAATTTGCTATCTCAATTCGTTCCCGTGTGCGCGTGTCTTCATTCCGGCGCGAAGGTTTTGTTAACATGTCGTCTCGTTATCGGCGTCTTAGCACGTAATATCCGCGCGCGGTTGTACTGTCTATTGATATGGCTTTTCGTCGCCGATATTAAATGCACTGCTATTACCATCTGCGCACACAATGCAAACCTTTAACTTCCAACTTTTCACATTTCGGACTTAACCCTGCCTTGTGCATGAAATTAAGTTTTTACCAAGTTGTTCAATGCGAGCGTTGCAGTGTTAAGACGGGGAACATCCAGGCGAGATTTGAACTTCCAATATTCAACTCGTTGGCGAGGATCGTCGGGAACGTCTATTATGTGTGTACAAGCAGCTCGAGACTAAAGTACATGTTAAAACATTGAACTAATTGGCTCCCTTGTTAAAAGCCGTTTTTGTGCGGCGTGTAGGTACACCGCGCGCCGGTTTTTGTTGCCGTCGTCGGATTTAGATATTTAGTTGTCATGTTTTGCGGCTTGCCGACCGAGAGGCTTGCACCTATTCATTTTCTCATTAATATTCCAACACATCGACGCTGCAACGCTTAAATTTCGTACGGTGAAACGTATTAAACACCATTTGTCGATGGAGTGTTATGTGTGTGTCAATTAACATTAAATATACCGTGATACTTTTACATTGTTTAGGCAGCTAAACTAAAATTCCTAATTTTTAGATTTGAGTGATTTCAATTTATTGCGCAAATTTTTATAATTTTAAAATATCTTATCTTGTAGAGAATTTCCCGTAGATTAGGAATTTGCAATCCGTTCCTTTCTATCTCTTTTAGTTTACGAGATAATCGCAATTGAAAAAACTTCCAAAAACACAAAAAATTACTTTATTTGACACTTTTAGTTACTGTTTCTGAACTTTTGCCCCATGAAATAGAGATTTTTTATTGTATTATTTTATAAAGAATTTTCCAAAGTTTCAGAATCATCAAATCGTTGGTCGTTAGCGCTTTTAGTTTAGTAGATATTCGTGACCGAAAATTCTCAAAAAAAATATAATTAAGCAAAATATGATTTTTGCCCAATTTTGGTTATGAATTATTTTTGACTTCTCATATATGAATATCTCATCTTATAGAGAATTTCACGTAGATTAAGAATTTTCAATCCATTCCGATCTATCGCTTTTAGTTTACGTGATAATCGCAATTCTAATTTGTAAAACTAAATTAAAAATTTAAAAAGTGAATTGTTTCAATTCAGTATTTTAGCTCAAACAAAAAAATTCTAAGCTGCGAAATGTAAATTGGTCATCGAATTTCCTTTATACGCCTCGCAGTCGCTTAGTGGCCTGCCTCGAAACGAGTAGGTAATCTTTATTATAACTGTTCATCAATAAACAACAACAACTTGCACGTAGTTGGTAAATACGAGTATAACTGCGACCATTCGACAATTCCGACGCGTAGCTCGACCGCATGATCTGGCGTGTGTTGTGCAAAAGGCACACACAGGTACGCCGAGTTTTCTTCGCGTTTGAGAATCTCGTTGGCGAGGCACGGTGCTCTCTTCGCGCTCGGTTTGTCGGATTGTATGACTCCCGCATCCCGTCAGCGGAGTCTCGGTTACGGTTTTATGTTCCATTGCGTTCGCCTGCCATCCACGCCGAGGACGCCGGACTGTTATAATAGATCCACTATGATCGACTATTACTACTAACGCGACTCGTGGCTACACAAATTCTGATGTATACACGCGATCCTCTGACAGGGAGCATTTTTCGATTGAATTATTACCAACACGATCGGCTCTCCGGTCATTTTTTTCCTCCGAACTTCAACTTGACATTAAACAAATAACTTCTTCTACGCTCCACTTAAGCTTTTGATGATTTATTTTTCGTTTGAGTTGTGATACAAGCACCGAACGCATACAATGTACACATGAAAATAAAACTGTGTAAGTGCTTATTTTGATTATCCTGTAGAGTAGTAAAGCGACGCGTATTTTATTGGTGGACATTTGAATAAAGTTTTTTTTTTGCTGTACGGCGGGAAAAATCGCAGTTTACATTCGGTGACCGCGCGCGAGTAATCGATTGCAATGCTAACAAAAGCCAAACACTTCAATAAAAGCGAACACAAAACCAAATTGGCAATACGGCCGTATTGTGGCCGTGGCTAAAACAGGACATGAAGACCTATTTAAACGCCTACGGGGCCCGTGTATTCCGTTTCAGCGCGAGCGCGCGACTTTTTCGACTGAAACACATCGCAGTGCATTGTACGCGAGATAATCCGGCGTCGACAACTTCTTCTTCTTCTTCTTATTCTTGCCACCACTCGCGCCAAATAATAAAAATCCCCAACTCTTGAGTATGAGGTTCGCCTTGCGGTCGCAGTGACATTTTTACTCAATTCGTGGTTGACGCGAGGTTAATTCGCGACCGCAAGCAACAGTTGTGTCGATGTGTGGTGTGCGCTTTGGCGAAAACCACTCGATAGTTTATTAACTAACAATCGACGCGGCCGCGGCGGACTCATTAAACTATTACGCGCCGAAGGAGCGCGCGCAACCAGTTATTACGCGCCCCGCCGATTTGCATGTTAAGTGCGTTTCGTCTAAATTTAGCACGTCGTTAATTAATTGTGTTTTCAACGCCTTGCCGCTGCTTTCCGCAACACATTCGGCGCGTCCCCCATATCTCTCGTTTCGTCTTGGTGTCGTCTTGCGCGCACTGACGAAGAGAAGAGAAAAAAAAACCAACACACCGACGAAAAATAATTAGCATAATAAACGCTGAGGCAATCGCGCGCGCCTTTCATGACTGCGCGTCGCGCGCCGATAAAATGGGTGTAGTCGATTTGGTGTGTGTTTTTGGCCTTTAAAATAAGCACCTAATTGACAGTCACATTAAATGGAAATCAATCATTCGGATTTTTTTCCGTTGCTTCCTTCGCTTCAGCCGTGCTGTGGATGGATGACGTTCGATATTAGCCTTCGTCTTCTTCTTCGGCTTCGCGTCCGTCGCTTGGTATCACCTATTTAATTCATTATGCGTCGCTGCTCGCTCGGCTGGCCCGACACAAAGCCGCAGAGACTCGCCTCTTCGAGTACGCGGCTAATAGACCTACTACACGTTTCGTTATACTTATTAACATTTTTCGTCCTATAATTCGAACAACTACGGCCCGATTGAATCCGCTGCATACGAATTGATTCCACGACCGGTTGGAATGATTTTAGGCAGGGTTCGTCCTCATGTCAGTGTCAATCTTCGAAATTAAATTCAAATTTATTCAATTATCGAGAGCGCGTGTGTTTTTTATGATTAACGTTTCGATGTCTCAATGCGTCAATGTTCCACGCTGGCGTTTCGTAATCCCTAATCGAATTCGTAACGATCCATCCCGTCCGGTTTAATTACGAATAAAAAATAATGCTTAATGATAATTAACAAGCACTTACCCTTTTTTTCAGCGCGCGTGTGTGTGTGGAGCGAGTGGACGCGTTGTCCCGTTGCGCGCGTCGCGCTGCGCCTCATTGTGGCGTGTTAATTAAGCCTTTACAATTAGCTGAATTCCAATTGATGCTGTTGATTGGCTCTCTGCGGAGCTGCCCCGAAGAGGAAGAAGAAGAAGAAGACGTCCAGGCAGCGCCGCATCTGCAAGCAGTGAGATAAAAACGGCACGTTTTAGCAACGGCGCGCAAGCTATGACAACACAGGTCGGCGAGTCGTCGCCGATGGTGTTGCGAATGTTAATTAAACACCTAATTAAATAATCCACGGGCGCGCGCGTCGCGACCCGGGTGTATACGCACACGCCGCGGGCGACGTGCGATGCGCGTTTCTGTAATTAGTCCGCGCATTTGCTCCACGGCAGCACATCGCTTGTTAGTTAGTCGTTAGTTAGTTAGTTGCCCCGCAATTGGCAATTCCAATTGCGGCCCCGGCGACAACCGCATGCGCATGCGAGCCGCGAACTGTTTAACTAAAACGCGATCGGCCGGGCCTTAACGAGAGACCGTCCAAGTGCTTCGGCTGCGGGAAAACAGAATTCGATTAACAGAAACGATTAAATCGCGTGCATTTCTTCGACTTCCAGTTGGACGCTGGTCGCTTGCGCGCACATCCCGCCGTCGGAAGAAACGCGCGGCTGAGTTGTGAGCGAAGATGCAAGCGACGCGCGTTAAACTAGTTTTTCGCATGTACCGCGAACATGCGATCCGCGATTCTCCCCATGGCATAAAAGTTGGCTAAATTTATGACGAAAAACATAAATTGCCTGCGTTACCCACGTTATCGTACACAACGAAATAATTGGCCAACGTGCGCCTAACATTTACGCGGAGAAGAAGAAAAAAAAAGGCGGAATATAACTCAATAAAAATCAGTGCTTATGTGCGCGCCCGTGGATTAGAAGAATCCGAGCGCGATATAAATGCAAAACCGCATTATAATATTTCTGCCATCAGCATCCGAATCACACAATCACGGCATCTCCGCGCGGCCGCGGAATAAAATCAATTTGAAGTTTTATTTGTTGATATTTGCCCGAATGGGAGCGCGACGCTAAACGCTGCTGCGTGTTGCGAAAGGGATTAAAATAAAATTTGAATAAAATGTAGAAACATAACAAAGTTGTTTAGAGCCTCACACGTGTCAACTTTACATTTTATTCAAATGTCCGCCCGTAAAAATCGCGCTTATCCACATAACGCATAATTTATAACAAAATGCCTTTTAGGAGTTTTTCCATTTACCATTTAATAAAAAGCACACGAGGAAGCCGGCAATGTTTCGGAATGAAAAATGATAACGTAATGCTGTTGTCGTCTTTATACCGTACGCTGATTAGTTATGTCGGGGCGCGCGCTTGATGAATTAGTCTTGTATGGACAGCCGGTATGTGGTAAAACAATATTAGGCATGTATCTCATCTATTTGTTGGTAAATATATGTAAGTACTTGCTTACAAACAATATGAATAGTGATCACGACGGATGTTTGGACGTCTGCAATATGTTTGGAGCGTTTGGAAACGGTCGTAGGTGTATGAAAAAGGTTAAACTCTTGTTTCTTGCTCGCTTCGCGCAGCGATTTACATTTTCTACGTGATATTCAACGGGCTGAGCAAACGACACCAAAACCGAACACTTAACTTGAGACTCGAAATGATTGAGACGAAAATCGGCGTATAACTTTTGCGCGTGCGATTGCGTAACGTTTTGATTCGATTTCTGCGTCGATGATAAACGGTGCACTTTAAATGCTTCACATATTTTATTTGTTGTGGATTTATCAGCGAATAAAATAAGTGCCAGGAGTGGCAATGGGCGTGCGGGAGAAAATGCGCGCTTTCGGTGGTTTCGACTTAATTAACTCCTTATCGTTGCGCGCGAGTAAATTAAAGCTCGAAATTAGTGCTCATCGGTCGCGGCCGAGATCATCTCGTCTGCGGCTTCCATAATCGTCGACTGGTTTTTCCGTCGCGCGCGGGCCGCGAATGCCTCGCCGGTCGCACGTTTTTTCCCCTCAGTTTTCGTTAAGTGGCAGTCGTACCTTAACGTCTCCTGCGCTATTTATCGAGACGCGGTGCGCTTGCAGAGATTGAGCTGCGATCGCGATTGCGCGTTTTTTGTGGCGTCGCCGTCCGCCGAGAGCGCGCGCGGCACGTGATTTCCTGCTTCGATTCGAAAACGCCGATCGAGCGGCAAAATCGATCATCCGGCATAAACAGTAATTAACGATAATTACATCGCTCGAATCCGGCGCGCGGGCAGTTTTTCGGCGCGACGCGCGCTTTCGTAACTTCATTTCGATTCGGACTTGGAGGAAAAGGGCAGAGATGCGTGCGGCGCTGGTAGAAAACTGAAAGAAACGCCGCGATGAAATTAATTAGCGATGCGAAGGCTCTGTTAAGGAGAGTTGCTGAGCGCCAGGAAGCGACGCAGCGGGGCGCAGATTTTCAATTAAAAATTGAAATTATAAAAAAACCAGTGAGTTCATTACGAAATTGAATCGGAGTCGAAAAAGCAGTGATTGTTGCTGTGGCGGTGGCGCAATTAAGCGGCGTCGATTTCTATCGCGAAATCAAATGATGAAACGAGCCGGGCCCTGCGCGATGCGGCCGATCGGATTTGAAAGGCAGGCACGAAAATTAATGAATCAATAAATGACAAGCACCACTCCAATTTGCAATAATTCATCCGATATGTAAACGATAAAAGCACCGCAAATATGGGCCGCATTGTGGTGCGCGCGCGTTTTAATAACTGCGCGTTTTTATCGGCCGAGTTTTCACTCGCTGCTTACGGTGAATTATGTAAAAGGAAACAATAAAATGCGAGGCATCCGAAACGGCGTGCACGCCGCGACTTATAAACACAAATAGTTGTAGACCGACGTAATCGTAATAGTCGCGGCTGTTATAATAGGAATAAATTTTGCATTTTTTAATGAGCGCGCAGAGATAAACCCGGCCGAGCGCTGAACACATGTTGTCGTCCGCATCGCCTATCGCATCGCCTATCGCATCGACAACAGGCATCGACTAATTTTATAGTTTCATCTGTTTAGGCTTGTCCGTGTCCGTGCGTTATTTATTCATTTATTTATTTATGTCAATTGCTCCGCTTCGCTCCCATCCATCCATCCGCGTCGCGCGTTCATCAATATGTAGGTATCGCGGATGCGTTTCGGACGAAAATTAGCCTCACGCGTTTTCTGCGCCGGCGTTTAATTTCGATTTTTTGCCGCCGCCGCGGGTCGCGAATGCAAATGCAGAGACACGCGAGCCGAGGAGGAACTTCGAAGTTCGCGGAATGACGTGGTCCGAAGAATCCCGATCCTATGTACGGATGACACTTATTGCCGTGTAATTCACGGTAATGTTCTACGGCTTCATTATATCGGCGACGAGCTAATGCCGTACGTGCACGGCTCGTTCACGTCGCGAAGACGCGCGACACATACGAGATTCTCATTTTGCACGACTCCACTACCATCCAAAAATCACCAGGGACCGCAGACGTTTTATTTTATTTTAAAGGTAAAAACAATTTAAAGCAGAAAAATTTAAATAGAAATTTTCCGAAAATCATAAAAATTAATTTTTACACTGTCCAGCACAGTGATGGAATTTCGCGCGTAGGATTCGAAGGAGTGTTGAGAGTGGTGCGATCGTAACCCTCAAAGGCCGTTAAGATTGCGATTGTTATTTGTTATAACGATCATCGATTTTCCTCCATATTAAGATTCAGATCTGCGCGCACCGGACAACGATTAATCTTGCTCGAACAACGCGCGCACTTAATGTCTAATTAAATTCGCCATAGCATACGTCTTGCGTCCGGGCGCGCGCAAATGCACGCGCAACACGTTCCGATATCGACGTGCATCTAATGCTAGTTAATATAAAATTTTACTGCGTGTTCGAGCGCGGCTAATACGCAGGTTGATGTTGGCGGAGGCATCGGGCGTCGTTAGGCGCGATGCGCGGACGCGTCGAGCGTGCATTAAAAGGCGTAATAAACGCAGAACGCGATCGCCGTCGCCGCCGCCGACACGCGGAGGACCCGAGCAGCGCGCGATATTTGTGCGCGCCGGATTAGATTTATGGATCAATTCGGTTTTAATAACACGTGTCGACCGGGGGACTCACATGCGTGCGCGCATATTTTCGATACTTTTCGATCGACTCTGCGCGCGCGCGCGCACACCGTGGGCAAAAAGAACTCCGAAAGCTATTTGCATAATTAGCGAGATACCTGCGCATCCACATGGACGATGCGGGCTTAATTAATCTACTTAACTTGCGCACTTCCATAACCTGCTTAATTGCGCCGGAAAAAACTCGGCGCGCAGCGCACAACCAGAGCAGAATATTTAATAAAGTGCGCCAACAAAAAATTGTGATTGCGAATCGGGACAAGTCACCTCGAGAGCAGAGTTTTCAGTTGTAAAACGCACAAGTCATAAACGCGAATGTTTAATTATTGTGTGTGTGTGTGTAAAGTTGAACAACAAATCATAATAATTGGCTTGTCTTGCAGGCCGCTAAATTCTAATATCAACAATATCATAATAAATAGATATGCGTTCCACGGGGTTATTAATAAATGTAAATGAACGACATGCCTAATGGCAAGCGGCATTAACGAACGTGCGAAAACCGCGTCGCGCAAAAAATTCGCCGGCGATTAGAAATAAATGAAAACAACCGCGGCCGGTGATTGCGGGACGCGTTTGAATTCTATTAGACTGCCGGCAGCCGCGTCGCGGATTATGATAATTACACAAACGGCAACAAGTGGATGGAAAAAATCGGTGTGTGTGTGTGTGTGTCCAGCGTCTCTCGTCCAGCGACGTCCGACCGCGTCCAGCCAGCCGCGTCCACTGTTCACTTCTCACGCATGCCGCTTATTAATTCGCAGCTAAACCGATTTGACAGCTCCAGCTCGATATCGCTATCGCGCTGCTCATTAGCCGATATCGTGCGATACCTCGCGCCGGCCCGATATATGCATTTATCGTTAATTAGTTTTCATTATAATAAATTATGCGTTCCGTAATGAAATGCGAGCGGCGTCGCGACTTGCGACATGCACGCAGCGGAAGTGGGCAGAGGCGGTCTTAAGAAATGTTGGCTGCTCTCCGCGCCGCCGGCGCGAGGGGGGATCGAGAATGGAGCGAATTGTGGATTGCGGATTTGGCGTCCTCGTAAACGCCGATGGAAAATTATGCGCGCTCGAAAATGATTTATTGCCGCATGAATTTGCTGAATTGCGCATTTGCGCTTAATTAATGCGCATTGGCTGGATGTTTGTTTAGTTGTGTCGATGCATACACACTTTGTTCACCGGCCGATCAATTGTGCACGTTAATATTAATCGCATTAATAAAACTAATTAGCTGGATTAATTACGTGTTGCGTGCATTTGCAAAAAACTATTGTTATTGTGAAATAATCCATAAAATATTATGCCAGGTGGACGAAAAAATTATTTACTTACAAGAATAATGAGTATCCAGCGCCATTTTGTTTCAATTTAATTTAAACGCCTTGATTTGCAGTTTCTAATGAGGTTAAATATACGCTCGAGTTTAATTCGGATACAAGCAAGAAAAAAAAAGCGATAAAATAATACAAGCAATAAAAGAAAAATTTATGGCCCGGAAGAACCAGTTAATCATTCATAATATGCCCAACAAACCAAACGTAATGCATTGTTGGCAACATTCAAGTAAAGTTCATAAAATGTGTATTTAATTAATGCGCGCTGCCTTATTTGCTCGCATTATTTGAATATTTATTCTTCGCATAAACGCTCCTCAGGTTCGGGTGCATGTCGGTCGCGATTGTTAATATCGAAGAAACTGATTAGATTATGTTCGCCTGAATCGTTCGTTAAAAGCTCGGAGCGTGCAGCCGCGAAAAAGTAGCGGCGAAAGAATCGATTTGTTTAGCACACAATTAAATTAAGTTAAATGCCAGCGCGGCGATTGCGCGACTTCGAGCCGATTGAATATCGGAATCGGCCTTTGGGCATGTTCGATTCGTCGGGAGATCTTTTACCTAACAAAAGCACTTTGTATCCAACCACCCGACTACTTCCAAGAGTGAACTGAAACTAATGCCGCGTCGAGATCTAATTGATTGATCTAATAGTCGTTCTATTGCGTTTAATGTTTCGTTTGATCAATTTATTTTGTATTTAATTTAAAGTGATTGGATAAATTGTTCTGGAAAAGTGAAATTTTATCTTTTTTGGTCAAAAAATGAAAATAAAGAAAGAAAACGCAATAATTTTGCAAGTTTTATACCTGAACGTAGCGAATTTCAGTAGGCCTGCGATGGTAGTTGGTAGATGATAAATTTCAGCCGACATGTCCGCGATCTATTTGTGCGTCCCTGTCAGAGCGCGCGCCGTTTATGCACGTAAACGGTGTGAAAAGGTCAGACAAACGGCAAACCCGCCGCGGCCGGTCGCGCGCGCGCTACGTGCTTCTTATTTCAGAATCGCACCTCGCGGACTCCGCCAACTCCTCCGACGCTGCCCGCAGCAGGCACGTCGTGCGTTATACGCTCGTAATCTCGGAAAATACTTTGCTCGCACTTTAATTCTCCGCCAGCCAGCCGAGCGCGCGTCTTATCCACCGCCGGTCCATACGTTTAGTCGGTGAGTGAATTGCCCATTTCAGCTTATTATTGGCGAAACGTGGCGGAGTCACAGGGCACGGGGGCAAGTGCACACCTAAATTCGTGTGTGTGTGTGTGTGTTACCACTGCCAGAATTACGGCGGGCTGTCAAAAAGCTTCCCAATTAATCACGCTCTTTGTGTTGCGCGAAGTTTCATACCGGTGATATTTTGGCAGCACAGGACCGGATTGTAATTTAATATTATTTTAATAAAAAAAAATTATATTTAATTTATTTTTTTACTAAAGAAATTTTTGTTTGTATTTGATTGTTTTTTTGGTTGGTGGATTGATTTAAACTAAACGGCGTTCCGGCACTGATGTGGTAGCCGAAGAAATCGAGGATCGGCACGAGGTTCTATTAACCCACACGCGCGCGCGTGCTGCGCTCGACGCACGAAACCAACGGTTTCGAACAAAAAGTTTAACGCGTTCGGTGGAGAGCAAATATCATCGCGCGGTCATAAACGGACAAAAACCGAAATAAATGGATATTACGCGTAATCGTTGCTAAATTACGCACTGATACTTAGTAATGGACGTACTTATCGTATTGGTTTTTGCGCGCCGTGCGTCCATTCAGCCGCACGCGCATCCTACTTACCTGGAACAAAAAGACATTTAATTAGCGATGCTTACGCCCAGCGTCGAAAACGTTGATATAAAATGCACGCGCGGACAAGAAACAAGCACGAGAAGTGCTTCGCCATGCAAGGCTCGAAGGCTGCGGCAAGTCGTGGCACGGCGCACGAGAAATTCCGATCGCACAAGATATTTGTTATAAAAGACATAACTGATAATTACAAATTGCCGCGGCTTCCTCTTTGCGTTTGCATATTAGCGGTGCACGCTGAAATATTCGCCGGCCGACGCTTTATTCTCTGCAATGCGGCCGCGAATTCCCTTCGGTCTTCCGTTTTATATTCTTTCATTTATTTGCACTTAAGTTGAACGCTGAAGGATTTGGATTCCGCCGGCGGTATGTGGCGGAGTTTCGAGGGAGATGAATGAAACCACGCACTCGCCGATTTCTCCATTTCTGCGCGCGCGATGCGCACTTTTATTAAGTCATGCGTTTTACATTATGGACGTTATTAAATTCAAACGGAGAGGATACGTTTATGTGTTTTATCTTCGCTGCGTTTAATTAGGAAGTGCGTGCGATTACCACTCGCCGCGCACGCACACTTGAATAAAACATTCTTGCATTCTAACTTCTTCAATTTGTTTTTTTTTTTTTATTGTTCGCGAAATACATTTCTTTAATGGCGGTAATATTTTGAGCGTTTTTATGTAAAACAAATGCGATTTGCGTCAGAAAATTACAAAGTCAAAATTTCGCAAGCCGAAATTAATTAGATTCGCATATTGTGTTAATTGCAGCACAATAGCGGATCGTCGGCATAATGCGCTCATTAATTGTCCGTACGCAGCGAGCGACGCACGCACTCTTTCTTGTTTAATAACGCTCGCAATGCATATATGCAAGTTGGTAATTTTTTAATTAATATATGAAAAATAAAATTGAACGCAACAAAAACCTCATGGGTTGGTATGTTGAATCCGCCGGATGGACGAGACCATTTCATTAGATTAGCGGTGACCACGAAAGTGGCCGCAGCACAACTTATTCATCTTCAACACGAGCAACTTGAACACAACTTGTACACGAGTATGTATGCGCGTACAACTTATAGAAGTTCTACACTTATACAGCTTATACAACTTATTAAACTTATTAATAATAATAAGATGGGTTGCGCCTGCTTGCAGACATCCAAGCTCGCTTCGCGGCCTAATTAAATTGTCAGGGTTCGTCGCTTGCTCGCGCATTTCTGCCGGAATGCATTCGACGCAGCGGCGCGCGTAAATTGGGCGTGCGATTATGACGCACATGGGGGAAATTATTCGTGGCAAGAAATCGATCCCGTATACCCATACTGACAAAAAAACAACAACTTATTTTAACGCGGTTAGATTGAGTTTCGCTGACTTTGCGGTGCGTTGCGGCATGTTACGGACGAGTAAAGTGGAAATAAACGAAATAACTTGCTCGGTTTGTGTTCGTCGTCGTCGTCTTCTTCTTCTTTGAAACTTTGATTGTTGTTGTAAAAGTTGGCATTCTAGCGTGTTAAGTTGTGTTAAATTGCTTGCATGACGCTCATTGAAATCTCCGGTCCGCCGCTTTGGTGACTTTTTTACCCTTTAACGAATTACACAAAACACACGACGGCTGACGTGCAACATAAACAAGCACCACAAAGTCAGTTGAGTACGAAGCGCACGCCGAACTTCAAAGCAAACTTAGATTTTTTCATGTTTCGAATTATTATTTTAAGCAAAATAGCAACGTAAAAGTGCTTTTATGCTTCGGAGTATTAAAGCAAATGGGCACGCGGAGGAAAAAAAAACGCCGCTTGTTCTATCTCCGCGGCGCGCGCGCGCTCTTTTCGCTCGTTTCGCTGGAAATTCTTGAAAGAAACATAGGTAGTGCTTGAATGGAAGTAGTAGGTGCGGACGCACGATCCGACAAACAGACAAGACGTCGAAACGACTGGAAACAACAACAAACTGGAAGCCGAAAAAATGAACTAGAAGCTCGGAGGAAAGAACTTTGGCGTGTGCACCGCGAGCAAACATTTGCGCGAAAGGACAATATGATACAAACTTAACTTGATAGAGATCATTTTTAATCGATAAAGTTCATAAATTTTCTTGAGAGTTAAAAGGTACTTACATTTTTGCCTGATAAAAATCCACTTGCTTTTAAAACACATACAACTCGTGCGACGTGAACCGCAAACGACACAAACTTTTTTGTTCACATAACCAAATTTAATTAATTTATAAAATCAAATTTTTGTTTGTATTTTTAATCGAATTATCTGGCGGTTTTTGCGAGTTGTAAAAAGTTAAAAAGTGAATCAGCTGATTGGCACTACGCGCGGGATGAAACCGGACCGGATGAAAGCACAAGTCTCGAACTTCTTCGCCGGATGGTGGAACAACACTTTGCGTGCTGGAGGACCGCGCGGCGGCGGCATCGACGGCGGTGCTCGGCGCGTTCACCAAACACATGTTTTTCCGGCGGTCGGCGCGCGACTCTGGCGCCGTGTTTGTTGTGTTGTTGTTGTTTAGTACAAAGTCTGCGGCGGAATGATGCAGCAGCCCGGCGGAGAGAACTAGACCACTCCCGCCACCGGTCATCGTCTACTACAATGCGACCTCACGCACACGCATACACACACCGACACACATACACGGGCGGCGCGCGCGCGTTCGCGCTCTCGGTTCTTGCTCCGCGACTCTTCGCGCTCTTCGCGGCCGAGGACCCGGGGAGCAAAGCGTGTTCCTCCCGGGGCGAGTAAGTGCGCAACGCGACGTGCACACGTACCTACATGCTGCACGTGCACCAGATGATCATCCAGCGGGAGACACGAAAAACGGGATTTCGTCGGCATCCCTCACCTCGATGGCGTCTCACCTCGGCGCGAAGGGCGGAATGTGCGTTTGCCGCGCGCGCGGATTGCAGCCGATCGAACGGCGCACTGTTTATGGAGTTATTAACTCCGGACCGCGGTGACTTTAATGCGCCGCGGTACGCAGGAAGCATGCCGGACGAGCCCGGTGACTTTAACGCCCGGCGGAACGCCAGATGATTTGACATTAAAATGCAAAATTACGCCTTTGCGCGCCGAACACATTTCGATAGAAACATAAGTAAGACATAAATTTTGTTTTATCTTTTACACTCGAGTGTTTTATTTAAATATTAGATATACACACGTAGGTATGACTTTTACAGTTCGCAGCAAAAGAAGAAAAAAAACTTATTAAAATGCATGATCACTGCTCGCAAAATTGACTTTGACGAAATTCCAGCTGCGAATTGAACAGTTTTTGACTATTTATGGGTGTGAGATTGTCGGCTTACAGCGCAAAAATTACGGTTTCTTGTCATTTGTATTCATTGATCAGAATGCCTCAAAGACTTCCTTAATTACAATCAGACTTAAATTTAAAAAAAAACTTTTTCGTTACTTTGGTATCTCTTATATCAATCTTCTAGCCCATAAAACCATCAACAACTAAATTTTAACTTATTTATTAAAATTAATCAGTTCTGATAATTCTTCTCATAATTTTCGATAAATTATTCAAGTAAAGCATTTATATGCAGATTTTTCAGGCTGTTTAAATTAAATAGCCGAATAAATTTATTTGTGACGTATATGGATGTCCGGACCAATAAAACAATCAGCGACTGCGATGTTGAACATATTTATTAAAAGCGTTTTCGATAATTTTAGCGCGAGAAACAAAAACTTTCCAGTTTTAGTCTAAACTGGTCGATTTAATAAGGAAGTTTATAATGTTTTGAATAGTTTCAGTTTATTAACACGAACCGGCCGCGAGTCGTGGGATGCGCGCGATCGAATTTCTAAATCAAGCCCGTGTGTAAACGAAACCTGTTCGCGGACAGTTCGCGAGCATAATATTTATAATTTTGAGCGATCCGAGGCGAGCGATGTGGCGGGCCGGCCGCGCGATATAAAGTAGCATTACGTGTGGCAAAGTGCTACCGGTTTTCATGTCAACTCTCATTAAAAGCGCTTCGAAATTATTCGTCGCCGCGTTTGCGCGCATCCCGTCCGCCGGTGATACAGCGGATACGCGACGCACTTACGTGTACATACGGCCGGTTTACTCAAACGGTCAACTTTTAGTGTTTGATAGCAGTCCTTTAACTTCTTTACGACGAGGCCCGCAAGGACTCGGCGCGCGCGCGCCGCTCTTTTTGCTGCCGCTGCCACTTCGATAGAGTATCGGGCCGCTTCGTTCCGACGGTGATTAAACATCGTGAAGTATCTAAGACGTTACTTAAGTAAACAACGTCGGAATGTCTTTTTCTGCCTTATCAATGTCGGCATTAATCTCGGCGCGCTGCTGCCGCGCGCCTGGTAGCTGGAGCACACAATGCCGCATTTTTCGTCGATTATGTTTTGGTGAATTTGTGTTTTAAGTAATTTTTGTGGTAAATATGCGCGGCGCGTCGTCATGAAAGCATCCGCGACTCGTTGTTATATGATGGACGCGCGGTGGCTAATATACAACACGCTGGATCTCGAGATCCACGGCGGGACGAAAACGAAGAAATAATGAGCGCCGATTACGCTGCTTTTAATTGCGCCAATTACTCATTCATTTCGTTTTCAACGTCTCATCTCTCCATCATTTCATCGCTGGAACGCGGATTGGTTTCGTCTATTTATTACTGCGACTTGCAGTCCTTTAACTCGCTTCGTTTCTGATGAAAATGCTTGTGATTCGAGTGTAATTGCGTTTTGATTTTAATCGTGTGTTTGCGTCCGCGGACTTTCCACGTTCTGAGATACCACGGACTCGGAGCAATGTCGTTCGTTATCGTCGGATTAATCATTGCACAAGATATCAATCCAATAATTAACCATTCTGCAATCTGAATGACACAATCCATTTTTCCTGGTAGATATTCTCATCAATCCAGTTTCAGTTTGCACGGAATTTATTTCTTCCAGTTTTCTTGGCTATGTGCTCAGGCAATGTTGGAGTTGCGGTACAAGTGCCGAGCACGACACTTTGCTCCATAGAATCAAAACGCGTGCCTATTTCCGAGTTGGTGTTATTTTTTACAACTGGTGCTTTGGTTCGGAAGCAAGTTTCGGGAATCAGAGATACCAAATGTAAGTGGATATGCGAAACCGTAACGCATTATGGCAAACCTTAAGTTACGAGCGTGGCGTGCCGTTCGAAAAGTTATTACGGCGCGGTGGACGGTCGTTCGTTTCGCGCGCGCGTGTTGTTTGTGTACCGACGAATGTAGGTACGTTATTTATAATAAACACGGACCACCTGGACGGTGATTAATACGTGGCGTGCTTCGGAAACGCAACGCAACGAAATCCACGGGCCCGAACACGGCGCGCCGGCACGACGGACCAGCACATGCACTTCCTTCGGCCAATGCCGCGCGAGTTTTCAATCGGCGAATACAAATAATCCACGATTAATGGCGACGAGGCGGCGGAAAATAAATCGGCGACGCGTGCCCCGAAATACAACGCGCGTCGCACCGTCTAGAAGAAAGCGGCCGGCCGGCCCGCGCGCTTATTATAAATGAGCGACGTATTAATATGCTTTTTTCGCTTCACATTCGACCTGCACGCATTAGATCTTGTTCTACACCATCGAATGGTACCATACTGATTTTTTTCCAGTCCGAATCGACTTTTACACTTGTTTTTCGTTGACTGCACGTATGTAGATAAATGGATTTTAAATTGAAACAGTCACTAATGTTCGGTTTGAGAATGCATCATGTTTCATATTTCATATTTCATTTTTTCTTCGCTTCGCCGAGTAGTTGGCCGAGCATCCGAAAACGGTATAACAAATTGATTTTTAAGTATGTTAAAAAATGGATTTAGAAATTCTCATTAATTATTATTAAGGCAAAAACGGATTATTGATTATTAATAAAATTAATGTGAAGTCTCTCGACGTATTCATACCCAACCGACCGGCACACCAGCACAGCATACCTACCTGCCTACCAGCTAATAACCGTCAGACAAACGAATAAATTTCTATAATTAATTTCAACTTGTGATAGAGCAATCAAAATATCAAAGCACTCTCCTTCTCCGCGGGACGATTGTCAAGTGGAGTCAAGGTGCATTTCATGCCTCAGCAGAATGGTTGCGTAATGGGCCTACCGACCAGAGTGGTAATCACATTGTTTTCCTCACAATGCTTCCTTCCTGTGCTGGTCGGTCGACGGGTCGACTCCATCCCAATTCACTTAAGTCCACTTAGCCGGCCGGTTACACACGCTTCACACAATGCTCCGGCTACACCTAGCTGCGCATTCAGCCACATTGCGCACAATGGCAATGGGCATTCAATAGTTTTGTCTTCCATGTCCTGCCATGTTCGTACTAATATGCTCACAATGACAACTCGAAGCCACTCGCGACTTGAGAGTTAACTCATATTAACTTATGTATTAAGCATTGTTCTCCCAGTAAGTCTTGTCGCCCGCCGTCCGTCACTTCGCGGCGGGATCCGTTTGATTCACTCCGGCGTTGATTTGTTTCCAACTTTTCATGGATTTTCGAACGCGGCGATGTTTGGAAGTTGCACTGCTTTCACAATGAGTGCGCGCGACTTTTAGGGCATCAGGTGACGTCCAGGTGGGATTGGTGCACCTACGAGGAAGAAATAGCAGGTACAGCTTACATAATCGCAGACACGACGATTGTTCGTCAGTCAACAACGGAAAAAATTGGTTTAAGGTTTAAGTACAGTTAACACCAGTTTATACAATATCTCCGTCTAACAAGAGCTACCACAGTAGTCTGATTCATTGGTCACTTCAGCTTTTTTTCTTACTGCCGTTTTCTAGCTGTTTTCTGAAGTTGCAGTTTTGGTTTTGCTGTCGACGATGGCGTGACTCATATCAGCCGGCCCGAGGCGATGCGTGGCGTGCAACAGATTCCATCCACTCAGTTAATTTCTTAGTGCGGCGGATTTTTCTCGCTGCACTGTAATTAATTTCAAGCCAGGTGAAAATGTCTGAAAACTCCGGCTTGCTGTAATCACCACACTAAGTGATGTGTCATGTTACAAGAGTGATAAAAACTGGACTCGTTTCTGCTTAGTTCTTTGCGAGTGTTTGAAGAAATGTTGCGGTTCTCACCAAATCGCAAATTTGATCACGTAGACTAGATTTGCAAGATTTCCTGTACGACTACAACGGCTTTGTTGTTTGCTAACAAGTGCATTTTTACATTTGCTGCCTCATCTACTACCAGCAAGCAGGCAATAGGAAACCACTCTTGATAACAATTTCACGTTTGATAGCAACTCCGACGTGTTTTAATTCGCACATTTATCCGTTACTCGTAAATCATCGCGAAACAACGAGTTTTCGTCCTCTACCAGGTGTTCCCTCCGGTAGCCCGCATGCTCTTTGTCGCTGGCATGCCTGGCTCTGCTTCAGATTTCTTGTCGACGTCTCGTAAGGCGATCGGCGAGTGGGAAAGGAGTTCGCGACGCACCCGGTGGCGCGGCAAACACCTACAATAAATAATAAATGGTACCA